GCCCTGGTGCTCACAGTTCTATCTGAGGCGGCGAATCCTTTGCACATGCAGGGCTCTGTGCAGGCTCCTGAGTCCCCGGTTCTGGCTCCGGGCTGGCTCCTCGGGCGCCCGCGGAACCCGAGTCTTTTCCAGGGGATGTCTGGGTGACCTAAGGTCGGTCCCAATCATTTCCTGCTTCATGGGGTTATCTCTCTACTGGAAAATCCAGTCTGTGATGTTCTGGGCCCACAGTTCAGTCTGAGACAGTGACCAGATCATGCTGGCGTGTAGCTCTGGGCTGGCAACCAAGCGCCTGGAAGAACCAGAATCTCTTCTGAGGTTTAGCTGGGTGAGTTAAAGCTTATTGAATCCCCCACCGTGGGGTATCCTCTCACCTGTGAAACACAATCCCTTGTGTTTTATGGCTGCGAGTTCTAATTGCTGGTCACTGTGCCAATACTGCTGTGCTGCTGCTCAGAATGAGAGAGTCCTTCCGGTGCTGCCATCTTGCCCCCGTCCTGTTTCTCTGTTTTATATTCACTAGTAGGGGGTGTGTGTTATTTGTTTTTGTGTTTGTTCAGACTATAACTGCAGCTGTGGACTGAATAACCAGAACTGGATGTCAAAACGACCACATCAAAAACCCAGGAGAGATGGCTCAATGGTTAAGAGCATTGTCTGCTCTTCCAAAGGACCCGGGTTCAATTCCCAGCACCCACATTAGTAAACTCACAACTGTCTGTAACTCCATTTCCAAGTGTCTGACACCCTCATACCAATGCACATAAAATTAAATAAATTATTTAAAAAAAAAACCCTGGATAAGCAGAACACCCCTGAACATGGGGCTAACATTTTATTTTCATGGAAAGCTGTTGTTTTTAAATTTTCACTTATTTTTTTCATGTGTCTTTGTGTGTGCCCTCAGAGTACAGAAGAGGATGTTTGATCCCTTGAGTTGTCATTCACTATCATGGGCACTGGGAAACAAATCTGGGTCCTCTGCTGCTACAACTACGCCAGTGTCACCATAGCAGCATAAGCTCCAGGGCGGGGGATATGCTTTCTCCGGAAATTTTCCCCCTGGAAGGTCCCTGACAGACTCATCCTACTTGGAAAAGAGACTTGTTCTGAGATTTCTACACTTCTTCACTTGTGGCTCTGGGGCTGAAGTAATGAATTCTTTGATCTTTCTCTGTGACTCCTGAAACAGCACAACTAATTTTTATAAAGAAATTTATCATTAGTAGATTGCTAAAGGCTTTAATAAAAATAATAAGTTTAAGAAAGGTAATGAATTAGATTTAGTATTAATAAGCATTAAAAATAGTAAAATAATAATAGGCTCCTTCTTAAGAAATAATAGCATGAGAGGTGCAGCTGGCGGGAGTTTCCCCTCCCTTCAGTGCCTTGTTCCTAGGGAAGATCATAAATCTTAAGCAGGACATATGGGAGGATGGTTAACAAAGGTGTAGTTAGAATTTGATATGGAGAGGGACTTTGGCAGGCATCTGACTTAGCTCCTGACTTTCCTCTTCACTGGTTAGCAATAATGAAACTATATTTGAGGTTTCTTTTCCTTTGTTTTCTCTGATCAAAAAGTTTTTAGGCCAAGATTACTTGTGGGCACAGCTTTATGTTTGACTGCATTTTGAGTTAAAATGTAAACTTTGTATTCTCAGTAAAAAGTCTGAATGTTCTGGGAAGTATAACAATTTTAAGGTGCCTTTTGTATGAAAATACTAGCTTGATTTCAATAAAGTTGCAGCAGAGTCAAAACCATCAAGGTGTCTCTGTCTGTCAATTCTTCACCGAAACCATGTATTCCTGTCCAAAGCCTTGTTCTCCCGTGGACGATGGGAGCCCGACTGGGCTGGTCTGTGGCACTCTGCTAGAGCAGCAAGTGTTATTAACCTATAGGCCTTATCAACAACCTCGATTGATTTTTCGTTTCTTTTCTTTCTTTCTTTTTTTGTTTTGTTTTTTGTTTCTTCAAGACAGTGTTTCTCTGTGTCCTGGACTTGCTTTGTAAACCAGGCTGGCCTCAAAGTCACAGAAGTCTGCCTGCTTCTGACTCCCCAAGTGCTGGGATTACAGGCATGTGCCACTACTCCAGGCTCCCAGTTAGTATTTTTTAAGACAGGGATTTAAAAATTTTTTTTGTCTGGCTTGAACTTTAAACTTTTTGTTCAAAGGTTTATCCCTGATACCTGTGTGCAAGGAGACCTTAAGTTTGTGTAACAGAATGTCACCTACTTTTTATATAGATTATTCATCAATAATGTCTGTACATATCTGATAAATGGAAAATAAGGCCAAGAGTAAAGGCTGAATAACAAGCATGGTCATGAAAATGTATCTGCTTCTTTCCATACCTGCTGTAGTGTGGGCTAAATGGCACACTAGTAAAAGTTATTGTAGGCATACAACACTGTAAATGCTTTTTTTCTTGGTCTTAAAAACATACATCATGAAAAAGGTGCTTTTCCAGACACCGGTAAACACTGATATCTTTCCACCCAAAATAATCATTCTAGGAACCAGCACACCACATCATCACCACCCTACTTGCAATCATTTATGTATCAAAAAGCAATAAATGATTGTTTCTTCCTCTTCTACAAAGGATGCTACTTATTATTAATCTTGATTTTAGAGGGCTGGAGAGATGGCTCAGCAGTTAAGAATACTTTCAGCTCTTCCAGAGGTCCTGAGTTCAATTTCTAGCAACCACACAGTGTCTCACAACCATAATGTGATCTGATGCCCTCTTTTGTCATGCATGTATACATAATAGAGTACATAGGTATGCAGAAAGAGCACTCATAGACATTAAATAAATAAATCTTTAAAAACAAACTTGCTTTTAATAATATATAGTTCTAAATAAAAATTGTTTTTAATCATGTTTATTTGTACTGAGGAAAAAAATCTAAGTACATAAAAGAAATTAAATTAAGAGGGTGGGAGGGGGGATTGGGAGGGAAAGAGGGAGTGGGATACAGCAGGGATAGAAAGTTAACAAACTGTAACTAATATTTAAAAAAAAAAAAAGACCAATGGCTAGGCCTTTGTTCTTCCTGCCTATTCTCAGAATGGCCCAGAGACAACTTGCAAAACTTGCAAGCTTGTAAACATCTCTTTTGTTCTTTTTGTAGTGAAGTCACCGTGCTAACAAACCCATACAATGGAATATTACCTTATCAAGTTCAATTCCATTCCATGACACACAGGACAAAATTATTGCCTTTCTTTTTTTTTTTTTTTCCAGTTTCTTTGATTTTGAAGTTGATTTTTTAACTTCTTACAATGTTGGGTACATTGGTATTATAGCTAACCTAGTGACAAACTGCTATGTAGTCTGTTAAGTTTAGTTACAATGAAATGCTAAATGGAGAACTGATCGACTCCCGGGTCTCCCTGCCTCTTTCCTTGCTCCTCTCCTCCTCATCTTTCTTCTGTACCATGATCACACACTGATGAGAATAAAGCTCAGAACCCACCTTCCCAGACCTCATGGACACCATGAGATCCCCAAGCACTCAAGTGCCACTGTGTTTTGGACTGCTTTCTCCACTACAATGTACCAGAGAGGGACCGGCGCTCTTAGAGTAAAAGACTACCTCCTTCAAAAGGTGTCAGCCCCAGGCACTAGCATATGAGTGTAAACACAGTTACCTGGGAGGTCAGAGGCTTCAGATCGCCCAGAGCTGGGGTCACAGATGGCTGTGAGACTCTTGAGGTGGGCGCAGGGAGCCAGACTCAGATCCTGAGCAAGTGCAGCACATCCTCTTAACTGCAAAGCCATCTCTCTAGCCCCATGAAACTTTCCTTTTATAGTACAAACCCACTAATTCAGTAAACAAACCATAATAGCCTGGAAGTTAACTGCAGAAAGCCCTTCAGTTAGGTTGTCTCCCTTCTCTTGCTTGGATTTGGACCATCATCCAATGACCCATGTGTTCAAACAAACAAACAAAATGAAACAAACAAAAACCCATTGCAAGGTGTTGTTGAGAGGTGGTGGAAGCATTGAGAGGTGGAGCCTACGGTGAGGAAACTGGGTCCATGATGGTTAAGCCTTTGGAAGAGAAACTAGGCCCCTGGCCCCTCCAATCACTCTCTCCTTGCTTCCCAGCCAACGTGAGGTGAGCAGATTCCTTCCTGTGAGTTTCTTCCCCAAAGTGCTGCACAAACTCAGGCCCAAATCAGCAGGGCCAAGTGATTATGGCCCGACACCGCTGGAAGCATGAGCAAAAGAAACCTTTCCTTCATGGAAGTGTATGCCCGTAGTTCAAGTATAAGGGAGTTGACAACTTAACTTGCCCACAAACACTCTGGAAGCCATGAAGAACTTTTTGATAGTGGTAAGTATCTACCTTCATTCTCACTTTCCTGTGCACAAGTAACCTCTGCCCCTCACCTTTCCTTCCTTTTTCCTCCTTATGTTTAGAAATTGATTTCGTTTTATATTTTACATGTGATTTATAAATATGATATGAAATGTATATATAATTTCATTACAAAGAGAAGAATGGTGATGAAGAGAAAGGAATAGTTCTATCCATGCTACTATCTTGACCCACAGCTCTAAAACAACAGAAGGCCTGTTGTTCCTTAAAATCTCTTCATTCTTTACCAGTGACAATATGAGATGACATCTGTATCAGTCACTTTTCACTGCTGTGAGAAATGACCATAGAGCAACTTATATAAGCAATGGTTTATTTTGACTTGTGATTCCAGAGGGGCCCTGACAGCAAGGAGGCATGACAGCAAGCAGCAGGCATGATGGCTGGAGCAAGAAGCTGAAATGGAAGTAGGGTGAGACTTTTAACTCTCAAAGTCCAGCCCGGTGATTCACTAATCCTCCCCAAACAGACTTTCAAATCAGACCCCAAGTATCTAAATGCTTGAGGTTATGGGGAAAATTCCTCATTCAACCCACTCATTCAAAAGCAACTTGCTTTTGTTTTTCATGCGTACCTTCAAGTTTATTAATTCCAATTTTAAAGCAAAAGTTACTTCTAAAACTTTTATTTATTTATTTATATTTGTTTATTTACATATTTCTTTGTGGTGGGACACATACACCACAATACAGGAGCAGAGGGCAAAGGACAACTTTCAAGAGCTTGTTCTTTCCTTCCACCATGTTGATCCCGGGCATCTCAACCACCTTGCCAGGCTTGGTGGCAAACACTTCTTTCCACTGGACCATCTAGCTGGGCCCTCTTTAATGTTTTTACTGTAAGATGATTTTGAATGTAAGTAGCCGTGTGCTTTGAGGACACACGATAAAATGCACATTGGGCCTCCTCAGGCCTCCCGAATCTGAGAATTAGCCTTTTGAGCCCATCTCATACTGCGCACAGCCTTAATTTATTTTTATTTCATTTTACATTATTTTACCTTGTCAGTAGTTTACTTCATGGTTGTACTCAGGAACTCACACATACTAGGCAATCATTGTAACACTGAGGTATAACTCCATCTCTACAAAGGGCCTTTGAAAGAACAGGTTATTTCAAGTATTTGATTTTGAAAACAGAGTTTCATGACCAGCTTTGAATTAGTAGAAAAAAGGTCCAACCATCTTTACCACACGATTTTTAATAACCTGAATAAATTTTTAAGTGCTCTAAACAAAAATGATCAAATGTGTAACATGAGTAATGAAAGAAGGGATTGAAAATGAGATAACACATTAATGAGAAGTCTAATCTTGGAAGCATCAGAAGTTTAAAATAAAAAAAAGAGAGCTAACAGCTCCTGAATAGTTAAAGACACATGCAGACATCTTACAAATAGAAAGGATAAATTTAAACAAATTATTTCAGTGTGGCACAAGAAGGATGCATGTTTTCAGTTCAAAAAACCTCCAGCATTGAAGTATAAATTCAAAACAAATAGTGGTTTGGCAATAGGAAAGTTTTAAAGCTATCAGAAGTCACCTGAGAAACCCACGCTTCTTATGATTAAGTTAAAAGAAAATGCTGTTTAAAGTGAAGGCTGGTTTAAGGTTCAGTGCGGGGCTCGCCGTAGAAGTCTTCCCTGGGAAAATCTTAAGCGCTACCCCAAAATTCTGAAAATGCTATCAGTAAATATTTTCATCATGAGGAAAAATAATTTTTGAGGTCCTTAAGGATAAGAGCTCTCATGATTCAAAGCAAGTGAAATGTGCATTCTGTTCATGGGCTTGCAGACCAGTAGAAAACTCACTAGAACTTGGTTTTCAGTTCTCTGTCATTCTGGACCTCAGGACTTCTGTGTACGTCCACACATTCGCTTTCCTTCTCTGTGAGCTTCATCTCTGCAGGTTCAGTTTCTGAAGAGTTGATTTCCCCAGGGAGTTGCAGCTTCCTCATAAGTATTAGAATGAAGAATGCAGGGGCAAAACTTAATCCTTTTAATGCTGCAGGCACGCCAAGGTAAATGCGCCTATTGAAAAGAGCTGATCTGTATTAAATCTTAATGTGTTTAGTGAAAGCTAATTTTGTATACTCTTACAGATCCTTTATTCTTTGAAGAAAACATCAGATGCTTATTTTTTCCATGTACTTTATATAATCTACTTTGCTGAGTTATTAATTCTTTTGGTTAAAATGTTAAAAATTTTCCATCATAAAAGGTTAAATGTATTGTCTTTATTTTGGTGATGTCTAGTTTTTCTTGTCAACTTGATGGGCTTTAAGGTCACTATAGAAATAAATCTGACTGTGTCTACAAAGATGTTCTCAGAAAGGTTTAGCTGGCAATGAATTTCCACCATGAATGTGAGCACTATGCTCTGGGCTTCAAGCCCTTGCTGCTTCCTGACAGAGCATGCAGCAGGGCCAGTTTCCCTACACTCCATCACCATGCCTTCTCTGCTTTACCTCACACTTGGCTACCATGTCTCCCCTGCTGCTGTGGCCTAAATAGTGAGCTAATGAAACCCTGATTCAGGTCAAAGGAACTCTTCTGTTTCATTTGCTCAAGTGTTGATTACAGATGTATAAAGCATCATAGAGTAATTTTTCAGTTTTCTTTTCTACTCAGAATTTGTATGCTGTCTTAAACCAACAAATTTTGTGATATTTAAATCCTTGCTTGTCTAAAATAAGTCCTGTTAGTAATTTTTTATATATTAGTAGATTAAATTTGTTAATTTTATGCATAATTTTACATATATACTACTCAGTTTATTTTTATTATTTTTAATTATGTGTATGTGTTGGGTCTCTGTGTCGGTCTGTGCTCATGAGTCCTGGATACCTGTGAGTTGCAGTAAGAGCATTTTATGATCTTCCCAGTGTGGGTTACAAGAATTGAACTCTTGTCCTCTGCATGATCCATATGTGCTCTTATGCCCCAAGCATAACTACTAATTTTTTTTTTCTGAACTTGTCCATTGTAAGCATGGAGATTGTATAAGCTTCCCAAAAGGAATTAAGTAATTTTCCCTTTCACTGTTTCCTATAATAACTTATATACTGCTATTAGCATCTGTTACTTGAAAATTTTATAAAATATGCCTTAAATTTTCTATACTTAATTGGTTTGGGAAATATATAATTTTGACATATGCACATTTCTAAATAACTATGAAATTATTCCTCCCTATTCTCAACTACTTACAATAAAATCTGGTGTGATGACAGTGTTGTCAAATTCATACAATCTAGAATCTCCTGGGAAGAAAGTTTTAACGAAGGCCTGTGTGAGTTATGTTGGCCTGTGAATGTGCCACTATTTTGATTAGATTTATTCAGATAAGAAGACCCAGCCCAAAGTGGCTGGTACCATTCCTTAGGCAGAAATATCCTGGACTACATGTGAATAGAGAAAATGATCACGGCTATTTCTACAGTGGGAAGGCATAAGTACAGTATGTCCTGGTGGATGCTTAATATTTCAGATGTAACAGTCTACAAATATAATTAAACTTTTCTAGGTGGATAACAGAGTAACAAAGATCTTAGTTTATTTCCATGCCTCTGTTAGAAAAGAAAGAAAGGAGTAATTTGCCTTACAGTTCTGGGTCACAGTCTACCATTCTGGGGATATCAAGGCATCTGGAACTTTAGCCAACACAAACATGCTGACAGTAGTTGAATCCTTCCACACTGTTATTATGGGCACACATTGCCAGGAATGAGATCTCAGCCACTTCAGCCACACACACTTGGGGACTGGGAAATAGCCAGCACTTTATCTCCCTGGATCTTTCAGGTTAGTGCTCATCCAGAAACCGCAGATAGAAGCATACAGAGTTAGGAAGATTCCTTCTGGATTTAGAAGCAATGCAGACCGTACAAGCAGTTTCTCAGTGGCCTCCTGGTGACTACTGTCTTACAGAGCAAGCAAGGTAACAGCCAGAATCTGGCTCATGACTTCCTCCGGGGGTGGGGCAGCAGCGCACCCACAGTGGTTCACTATAGTGTTAGCAACAGGGGTCTGTGTAGAATGGAGAGTGCTGGAAAACATGTAGGTAACTGCTTGTAGCCAAAGAAAGCAGCAGCATGGAACCACACACAACTCCATGCACCCTGATGGCCAAGGGTGAGCTTCCTGGTCTCCTGCTTCTTGAGTGTAATGGTTCCAGTTATATCTACATGTGACAACATCCTCTCTCGTGAGACTTTCAATAGGTGGGTGCCAACATCGCTCTCCTGAGCCAATGTTGTGTTCATGAGCCAACTAACCACTAAGTGCATGGGGCATTTATTGGCTCCCAGAGATTAGACTGTCAGTCAAATTTAGATAGTAGGTCTCTTCTCAAGATGCTTCTGGCTACAGCACCTGGCAAGATATTTTAAACTGAAGAGTTACTGTAAGCACAGTTTAGGCTATAAGCATGAGAGGGCTGTGAACTCTCCAGGAGCTCAAATGCCAGAATCCATGCTGACCAAGTGTGCTGGGATTCTATCATTCCAGCTCCTGCAGATGGGAAGAATCCCTCCTCTCTGTCCATAGATATGGGGAGGCAGAAAATGAGAGACTTTATCCCCATCTGTAGCACCCACCTTCCACGTCTCTGAATCCTGCTGTCCTGTTTCTATCCACTGTTCTTCCATGTGTAATTCAGTTCAACATGTCATTCTCCCTTACTGCTCTAGGACCTCTACATAGACACCCTGCACACACACACACACACACACACACACACACACACACACACACACACGAAGCACCTTCAAAATACTGGGAAAATATTAAAATATATAAATAAGGAAGTTACACCATTCTAAAAATGAACTCAAATGTAATCTTATCACTCAAGAACATGCTAAATATGAATGGGGACACCACGAAAATATACAGTACAAAAGTAGGTCTCATAATTTATCCTTACCTGAAACTATTTATGTCGTACAACCTGCATGCCCCTGGCTCACCACATGTCAGAGTTCCCCAGTGTAAACAGGTCCTGTCTATCAAAGCACCAAAGTAAATAGGTGCAGGAATGCCAGCTGCAAAGAAGAGAAAGTGCAAAACAGCCCATTGACAGGAAGAAAAGAGAAAGCTGTGTTATTTTATTTGAAAGTATTTCAATTTCCATATTAAAAAATACAATATAACAAACTATGAATAAAAGACTCCAAACTTACTCTTAGGAATCATAAATTAATGTAAAGTTTTTAGATCACAACAAATGCAAACTATTTATAAGATACTAAGAAAATAGTTATTGAGTTCATAATCATGAACCACATATATTTTCTGAAATGGCTTTTGATGGTTTTCTATATGTCTAACAAAAACTCTTTCTTACTGATTTTATTTTTAAATATACTAAAAGATGAAAGATGTGGTTAAGTCCAGGTAAGTTCTTTAAATCCAAAAGGAAATACTATTCATGTGTGTAATTACTTCATTCTCAGACTAATTACAAGTAGAAATTTCCAAACACAAATACTTGTACACTGAAGTTCAGCAAAAAATGGACAGAGCACACCTATATTAAAGATGCTACAGGTCATTGGAACTTCTTGGATGTGGGCACTTTGGATATTGCAGAACCTGAGACAAATTATTTTTACCTCTCATATTGACCATTCATTGCCCCATCCCTGCCTCTGACCATATGTCCATGCGACTATCACTGAAGCTTTGTTGATTAGGAAGTTACTACCCAACCAAACACTAAGAATGGCATCAAAGAGCATCTGTGTCTACAGCAGAGATTTCCCTGCTTTTCTCTAAGCATCCTGCATGATGTTTCAACAGATATATTTGAGAATTGCCTTGTTTATGGATTCTTTTGTTCTCTAACTATAAACATCACAAAATTGTCACTGTGTTGGTCCCCAATATTTGGGTGACCTGAATCTGTGTTCCTATGTCAAAGTCACTCATGTTTGATTCCAGAATAAACCTTCTTAGTCCTTTTTAAAGTGAGAACTCTGTTTTAGGTTGACAACATTGTTGCTACTTTCTTATTCATGGAAAATTAATTAGTTTACTAAGCACTTAATATTGGTCTGGTGTATTAGGGAAATTCTTCATACCAAATATTCTTATGTAAAAGGTATGTAATCCAATCCCAAGTGACTTCTCTTCAGACCTGATACACCTGAAAAACACATACATACATAAATAAAACTACATCATGAAATCCATATCTCTCCAGGAATCCTCCAATAACAGTGGTAGTTCATGATTCTAATGCTTAAGCTTTCCATCCTGAAATGAGAATGGCAAAGCTCTACCTCTCATAAGCCCACATGGAGAAAGGAGAGTAGGGACTTCTGAAAGCTGGCTCTGACTGCCACACATCTCAACTGAACTCTTCAACAGTTAGATATTGCCTGCTAACTTCAACAAATAGGTCCCTGGTTACTGCGGTGACCACCAGGCCATACCCACTCTAATGGACACAAACCTCTGAAACCACAGACTAAATAAATCTTTACTGTCTTATGTTGTTTGTCAGGCATTATGTCATATTGATACAAAAAGCTAACACATATTATATAAAAATTCAAAATATGGCACATGTGGTCCCAAGATACACAGAGAAAGAATCTATTATGTAGGGTATAGCATTAAGAAAATGTCTTTACTATACGGAATTAACACGTTTGTCTCTCCTGTATCACTTGCAAAAATAGACTTGAGATGATTTTGAAAATTACAAAGGGGTAGCCTATAAAGCAGTCAGAAAAAATATTATTATAAATTTGGAATATGTAAGCTCTCTTAATATGTGGTCTTTCCCATCAAATACACTTTTGGGTGAGAAAAGCATAATATATTCAACTGTTGGGATTTCATTTCGGAAGCAATTCCATTAAAGATTTTAAGAAAACACAACAGACTAGAAGAGTAACGATGCCATGAAAACAGTGGTACTGTATCATCTACAATGTCTGTTTCTAGTTACATAGTATAGGATAGACAAACTACAATGCACAGACCCCAAGGAGATAAGCCTGGTGAGCATCTTAGGCTTCATGTGGGCCCCCTAGTTAAGGGAGTGGGGAGTATCTCTGACATAGACTATGTTGCCTGCTTTGAGATTACTTCCCCCTGATAGGACTAACCTACCAGGCCAGAGGGGAGGAAGATGAACTAAGTCTTGATGTGAATAGATGAGCTGGGGTGTCTGGGTAGGGGGGCTCCCTTAGTCTGAGGAATAGGAGAGAGAGGATGTAGGAGGGAGGGTGGGACTGCGAGGATATAACCAAGATGTAAATTGAATTAGTTAATTAAAAAAGAAAAGTAGTAATAAAATAAAATTCAGCAAGAAAAAGACAAAAAGAATGAAATAGATCTTAACTTCCTTACACCAAGAAATCATATATTAGTGCCTACAAGATGGCTCAGTGGGTAAAGTTCCTTGCCACCAAGCTTGACAAACTGAATTCAATAGCTGAAACTCACATGGTAGGGAGAGAACCAAGTCTTATTTAATGTCCTCTCGTTTCACCATGCATGCCATGGCATACAAACACACATAGAAACACACACACATGAATGCATACGCATGCGCATGTACATGCACACACACTCATTTACATGCAAAACCTTTCAAATAATTATACATTAAAACAACAACGAGCCACATTATTATTATTTTTTTTACACCCAGTTGAAGAGTCTACTTTAGAGAGTAAGATAATTGAGAAAGTGTCTACAGGATGGAAGTGGGATCAGGAATGCAGTAAACATGACAGTACCTCTACAAGGTGTGTTTGGAGGTTCTAACAGGAGAGTTCAGGTGCTCATATGCCCTTCACTATGGTCATTCTTATCATGAGGAAAAGTCATCCTTATCAACTGAGCTTTGAAACTCAGGCACCAAAGTAGTGAGGGAGAAAGGAGACACCACTTAGGCATGTCAGCTGAATCTGCCTGGCAGGTGATGGAGTCATAAATGTCACAGCCAATTGTCCCTCACTTACAAAAATAAGGCTTAAGAACTAGCAATGCTTGATGTCTTTATCTGTCCATGAACCTGTGAACTAAAACAAGGCATGTACTACATCTCTATTTGTGGGAATATTGGAATATAAGCTCTTACAATGGAAAATGAATACATAAGGACACATATGTAGTCTATTCCACTAAATAGGGAAATATGTAGAATCAGAGGAATGGAATAAAGTTGGGAGGAAGGAAAGGGAGGAGGAGGGAAATGTAGGTGAGAAGAGAGGAGAGCAGAAAGAGTAGAGAAGTGTGAAGGGAGACAGAGGGAGTGAATGAGAAGGAAAGGGTAAAGGGACTTGTAAAAGGCAGAGAAGGAGAAAGGGTTTGAGGTAGAAAAGGAACGTGGGCAAAAAAAAAAACAACAAAAAAACAAAAACAGAAAACAAAAAAACAAAAACAAACAAACAAACAAAAACAAAAATTATAGGTGAAGGAAGGGAGAAGTGAGAACCGTGATCCAGTCTATAAAAAGTGTTATGAATCAGACATCATGGATAATGCAACTTTGCTTCTGAATTCCAATATGAAAAGAAAGGGGGTGGGGTGTTGAGCTGTTTCCCATTGCTAGTGTGTGTGACTTTTGATGGACTGGAAAGTACACCTGCTAATAATAAAATACTTTGAAATGACTGTAACTTTCTCACTTTATCGTTGTATTCACATACCTCCTTGTCTGAGAGTCTATGTTACTGCATTCTGGTATTGTTTCATGTTAAAGAGAGATTGAGCTCTGGATGTCAAAAGAGCTTTGTCCCTTTACACAGAGAGTTTCACACTCCGCCTGTTGGTTAGCTGACACATAGGAAATGAGTGCTAGGCAAATACTCTCCATATGCAAACACAAAAAACAAAAACAAACCAACCAACATCAATTCATTGATACTTAATAATTTGAGAAAATAGGACAAGGAAGGAAGAAAAATTCCAGCAAACTTTAAATTATTGTTAAATTTAACATTGGTTAGTGTAAAAGTCTTGATAAAGGTATCTTAGAGCATTGAGGAAAAATGACTCCAAGGGCCTTCATTGGGAAAAGAAAATTAATAAATGACCAAAAATACCTAACTGACTTATGTGGGATTGTCTCAGTAGCTAAAGGAAGTGTTGATACCATGAGGTGAATTCTCAGAACCCAGGGACATATGTAAAAATAACAGTAATAATAATAATAATAATAATAATAATAATAATAATAATAATGCCCAATTCACCATTCTCACAGTTAAACAGGAGGAAAAAGAATTGCTTGGAACCCTGAGGTAGGCTGGCGTACACAGCAGCACAGCAGCAGGAATGAAAAGAGAGACCCTGCTTTAAAACAACATGAAGGAAGAGAGCTGATTCCCAACATTGTATTCTGACATCCCTGTGATTTTAGTGGCCCAGGAACCGGCTCCCCAACACACATCCATCATATACTCGCGTATGCACACGCTATGAAAAAGGAAAGAGGGAAAGCTAAATGAAGGAGTTACTTATTACCTCAGAAGAACCATGTACCCAGGTATGGCTCCTAGTGAGAAGATGAAACAGCCAATTACCGACATGATTAAATAGTACTGCAGCATGCTATCACACGCACGGCCCTTCTTACACAGCCCGAGGACAGCAGATGAGTTTCCAGACGAGCGAATGCAGCTGCAATTGTGAAACACCTGTCAAACAAACAAACAAACAAACAAAAACCCAGCATCTTATTTAATGAAGAAAAATTACTGGGCCTAAACCTTCAATATTTCTTACAAAGGCAGTTGGATCAAAATGGAGAGTGCTGGGGCCAATGCTATTACTCAGAGGAAGAACACTCATCTAGTTCAAATGAGGACCCAAGTTTCAGCACAAACACCACAAAATAAATAATACTAAGTAAATAAAATGGCAGATATTTTTCTCTTTTATTTCCACATCTCTTTCGGTATTTCAGAATTCTATCATAAAATATAAAGGGATGAATTTTAAAAAATGGTATTTTTTCCCTCAATACACAGAGTAAATTTGCAAAAATTCAGTTATCCTTAATGTATACTTTATTTTATTTATTTATATTTATTTGCTTGTTTGGTTGTTTTTCAAAATAAGTGTGCAGCACCTGTTTGTGTGTGTATGTTTGTATGTATGCATGCATGTTCATGCCTATGTCTATGTGTGGACTTATTTGTGTCATAGCATCCATGTAGAAATCAGGGAATATGTTATGGAAGTTAGTTCTTGCTTTCTACCATGTTGGCCCCAGGATATAATTTGTGGTAAGGCTTGGTGGCAAATGCCTTTAACCAAGGAGCCAACTTTCTAGCCTACATGCAATTTTTAAAAAAAAAATAAAAAGAAAAATGCTTTGCTTTGTATTTACCTAGTACTAAGTACTAAAACAAAATATACTTCAGAATGTTGATGGAATAATTAGGTGCTTACTAACACACAAAGTCATGTCCCCAAGAAAAAAGATTATTCAAACAATAAATTCAATACTTTTTTGAAATATTATGCTTCTGGGTCTGATTAAGAGTAAAAATGATTGTCAACCAACTCAAAGTATTATAATATGCTTAAGGGAAGGGTACATGCTTGACTCTTGACATCTTGCTAAACTGTTGTGATGAGGGCTGGGGAGATGGAACAGTCAGTAAATTCTGCACAAGCATGAGGACCTGAGTTCTCATGCCCAGCACACATGTGAACAATGCATGCACAGAGCATATGCTTGAAACACTGGTGCTGTGTGGTGGACACAGGTGACTCCCTGGGGCCCTCTTGTCAGGCAGCCTAAGAGGACCAGCAAATTCCAGGCCGGTGGGATCCTGTCTCAGAAGCACTAAGTACATGGCACCTGAGAGTCAACAGCTGAGGTCGTCTTTGGTCCTCTATATGCACAAGCACCTGCACGCAGGCACACAAAAACACACAAACACACACTAAGTAAGTAGTACATAAACAAACAAAGCTTGTGATAATAAAAGGCACATTTTCTGTCCACTTCAACTATAGGGCAAGTTTGAGGCCAGCCAGTGCTTTCTGAGGCCCTCTCACAACAAAGGTCAGGTTCTGTCCAGAGGAATTTACAATTTCAACATTAATGTTGATTTATGTGTATGTTCTGTATCCGTGTGTACACAAACAGGCGCATGAGGGTGTCTGGGGAAGGCAGGGGAGAGTGTCAGGTGTCCTGCAGCTGGAGCTGTGAGCGTCCCCATGTGGGTACAGCAGGTGCTCTTCACAGCTGTGCTCTCTCTCCATCCTGTCCAGATATATAGCACTTGGATCACTTGAATGATAACTGCTTTGAAATGACAAAATAATGCTCAGACTCTATCAAGGTTTACACAATCTCTAGAAATTGTAACATCAAATATAAGTATACAGATTAAATGGAGTTGTTCACAAATATTAATCTATTTTAAGCATGACTCTTTTTGCTTTTTCAGCAGCTGTAGGATTAGGTCATGGCACATGTTAACACAGTACACACACATCAGCCAGACACTGAAGGATGTTTACCATGTTGATTCCCGTTCCAACAGACTTCTCACAGCCTGCAAGACAGGCAGACATGTATGCTAGGCCGTTGTCTCCACACACCGGATCCCATGTTTTCGTTAAGCAGCTACACCTTGTGTTACAGTCAGCGAGGACAGGATTCTCCACATCAAGAGGCTGCTGAACTCTGAAATGATTTAAAAATAATGGTACAGATATTAAACTCACCCAAGCACTTTATTTTCTTCTTTTTTATCTCAGTATGCATGCACGCACATGCACACAACACAGAGGGAGAGAGGAAAGAGGTAGAAACATTTCATTTTCTTCTCCAGAACAGAAATCATACAAATATCAACGTGTAGCTTCTATTCTACGTTTTCTGACACACTAGTTATCTGCTCCAGTGGTTGCATGACAGCTTCTTTCAATTACTTCAAACAGAAACGTTAAGTGTCTACTCTGTAAGGAAATACTGTGATGTCAGAGCTGATTTGAGGTGCACCAATCGCTCATTGATCTGCAGGATGGAAATAATGAAGGAGTACTGGCTTGAACAGAATCTGCAGTTTCCATTTATAACACAAAGATGCTTAAATATCTGGGGATCTGAATGCAGGACCTCCTGCCTGCTCAGCAAGCAGGAGTCCTCTCCTCAGCCCTTTGAAGGGAAGCTCCACGTGTATGCTTTATTTCATTTCGATTGATTAGTTGATTATGTAACTGTGCCCTTAAACTGTTTTAAATTTCCCATGCTAGAACAGAAAATGACCAACAACAATTGAAATGCAAACTCTAAGACCACAGATTACATCAGATATAAGCATACCAATGACATATATAAATACAGACATAAATTGACTTACCATGTATTAGATTCAATTATTATAGAAACCCTTGAAGTTTTGCTGTTTATTGGAGTATAAAACACATGGATAATGTAGGCTACAAAGATCTAGGGTATTTTCCTTTGTTACACGTTAAAGCAGACTAGGGTACCACCAGGGCAACTACCCACGTGCATGTGCAAGCATAAATGTACTCACTGGAAGTCTGAGGAGCTCTTTAATAATCCTACAACTTATGTTGACTGGTATATGACTGATGCATAGAAGAAAATACAAGATAACCATGGATCACTGCCATTAAGTGATAATAAAATGACCTGGTCATATTTAATCCTTGGAGAAAATGGACTAGCAATGGTTAATATGTTACGATCTTCATTAGGAAGCAACGTACCCTTCATAAAAAGTAGTTAAGCCAGCGACTGGGAAATTATCACAGGTCATCAGAAAGCTACAGAAAAACAGAAGGTACTCAAAGAAACATAGGCAGAATGCTATGAGTGCAGCTTTCCTGACAGTAATCTTGAACTTCTTCATAATCAAGCCACCAAGTAAATATCCAAGGCATATTGGAGGTAAGTCATAAAGACCTATAAATGCAAGTAAAATAGTATTTATAAAAGACAGCAGAAAAAAACATGTTATCAATTTATCTCATTCATCTTAATTAAGAAACTATTTAGTTCTAATATACAGTGATCACATTATGTATAACGAGGTTTCTAAATGCCCCCATAAAGTCAGTTTTAAAAGACAGTCAGCATTTATTTAATCATTTACAGCATGTTATAAAGATTTTATAAGCATCACACACGTAGTATATGTATATATTAGATACTTCATATATTGCCTTCCACCCTGTTTCCTGGGAATTTGGCTCAGCCCCGGATGATATCGAAGGTCCTTGCTGTATCCCTGCTTATCAAGCATAGATCATTTTGTCCATTGTTGATTTTGCCCACATTCTTCCTACCTCACTCTCTTTCCCCAGTCAAAAATCAAAGGAAAAAAAAAAGAAAAGAAAGAGAAAATTCTCTCATTGTATTCATACAATGAGAGGACCAGGCTTAGAAGTTTTAAACCATCCATGCCTTGGCATTTAATATTATGCACCTGAGGGTCAGGACTGGCATTTGGATTTTCAGAAAACTCTAGATAATATGGATTCTGGCCATGATCCTCAGTTTTCAAGAGTAAAATGAATTCCCAAGTGGGGTAGAATATCTGGGTGTAGTGTACTAACAAGAACAGCAGACGATGGCTATACAAGGCTCTCCAGACCACCAGGAGACCAAGCAACTGATTTATCAGCAATGAGGAAAGCAAGAATTGAAGCTTGGAAGTAAAACCTGGGAGTACCATACAGAATACCAGGGAGTTAACTCTGCATTCCTCTTTGAATTAACACATGAGCTTCTCCTAAGATTTTCTTAAGTATGATGATTTTCATTCTTATTGGAGAGAAAACTAGCCTATTCTTTTCCTATCCTTCCATGATTTCCCTGGAAACTGGAAAGAAATTTACAAGAATATCCTAACAGATTTCAATTTCATTTTGATCTCCTAGTCATATTATCTTATTCTTTATCATGCTCTTGGGGATACTGTTTTTCATGTCCTTCTGGATGGGGGAAGTGCTACTAAATAAATAATGAAATTACATACCTATGAGAAAGACTATCTCTGCAGTTGATTTTCCATATTGCTGTTCCAGGTATTTAGGCATGAAGGTAAATGTGCTAATAAATGCATTGACCTGGAGCACACTTAAAAAGACGAAAAGCATGTAAATCAGGTTGCAGGACAGGCTCTTCATGAACGGCAAGAAATCTGAAACAAGAGAATGTAGAGACCACCAAGCTAACTTGGCCTTGCATTTTGTGTCCAGTATTCTAAAATCTTACAGATTCAGTGCAGCAACACAAATACATTTGATAAATGTTTACCCCTTTGGGGTTATAAGTTCTATATTAATGTTTAAAATCACTTCTGGATGTTGGTGGCACAACTGGCTATGTAGGAACCAGAACCCTACCAGCCGGCAAAACTATGAGGAGCTGGTATGGTGTCTTTGGCGACACCCTTTCACTACAGAGTGACTAGCCTGTTCTCTGGCATCTGCAAAGACTAGCTTTGATGACATTTGGGTTCAGACTGTGATGCTATCACTTCTTTACACAGGAACGGATAAGCTAAAAGCTTAGGAAGGCTCCAGGAATCCTGCTGCAGCCCAGACAACCTCAGATCTTGCCAGAACTTCACAGTAGGACATGCCTTAGAGTCAATGTTGGAGCCTGTTTCTAGAAAATGGGTTGGATCTCACTGATGGTAATTTGGATAAAATTTACACATAGTAGTCTTTTGCCTTTACTTGTCTTCATGTCTACCGTCTTGATTTTCTAATTTTATACTATCCTTAATGAACTGCCTAGAGTTTCTTTGAGAGAAAAGCATCAAGAAGAAAACATTTGTAAGTAAAGGCAGAATAGTTTGATTAAGAATATGGACTCCAGTGGTAAAATCCATCTTTATAAGTGAGATGGTTACAACCAGAATTTCCAGGAGCTTTTGAACTCACCCGTGTTTGCTGACATCCCTGTCCTAAGCGCGTTTCCACAGCTCACAGTTATATTCTGTATGTCTTATTCTCTGCTCAGCTCTTTCCTAGTTTTAAAATTAGGTTGATCCACAGACCACAAAGTTGTACAGAACAGTAGGGACTGACCCATTCAGGAGAATCACTAACTTGACCATAATTCTAAGAATGTTCAAGCCCCTGCACTGGTTTCCAGTGTGTGTGTTCAATGCCGACATGTGACTATTCAGTGCACATAGTGTTGGGGGATATGAGTGATGGAGGAAATAGCAATGTCATCAATAAAGGGTTCACTACAGTGTTCTGTGCCAGAACAGCACAGAAACCCTATTAATACCCTCTTCTGACAGGAAATCAATGGCCCCTGCCCATCTTCCAACTATGCAGTTTAAGAACTCCAGAGCCCTAGCCACTCCCCTCATGCACTAACTCTAATCTCTTGAGAATACTGCACAGGTCTCAGCACACACAATTGTCCAACAAGATTTATGCTTTAAAAATGTGCATTCTTGAAAACTCCACTGTCCCACCTTAGCTTCTCACCGAACCATCACTACTCTGCATCATAGGTTTATAACCTTCCTGCTTATTTTAAAACAGTTGTTCTAAGGGAACAATTCTCCTGTAAACCATCACACACTTTCAAATGTAGGATTATGTCAATTATCATGTTTTCTCTCCCGGCCTTTACTTCAAGGATGCTCACAGCTAAACTAACATTTTTGGTATGAAACAGGTTTTTCTCTACCTTTATGTTTAGCTTGAATTTCTGATTATTCATGTTTTTAATGTGAACTAATATTTCCTCTAAAATAGGCTTTTCAAACAGATGGGTAAATATATTTGTTCATCGAGTTTTCAGATTGACTTAAATTTTCCATAGCTTAATTTAAAGGTAAGTCAGGTTCCAAATTATGTCAGTTGTTTTCAAGTCCTAACTGTGGAAGACATTTATCACATCTGAGTAGGGAAGATTAGTGACAAACTATCTTAACACAGCACAGCCTAACAAGCGCCTATGGAATGCAGACCCATCTGAACAAATAGAGTTGAAAAATTTCTGTTTGCCTTTAGTGATTCCACGGGTTTCCTCTTTGGATTTTTCTCTGTATTTCTCAACTTTGTTGTTTTTAGTCTCATCCGCATTATTCTCTAGTCCTTCCTTTGGGAGTGTTTTTGGAAAAAAGAAAAACGGGATGCTGATCAGGATATTCACTCCTGCACAGATCAAAATGCCGATCCACCAAGCCCCAACCCAGCGTGTATCAGTGGGAGTGATGGTCAGGTCATCTGTAAAGAAACACAGATATTGTGTTAGCTTGCACCATTCTTTCCTGTGTAAACTGTAAAAAATTAAATTCATATAAGCATAAAATTTGTATATTATTTGTTAACTATTCACCCATTTGTTATTGTTCTTATTTGGGCCTTGAACTGGTCATATTTTGCCTCTGCTTCTTAAATACTGGCAGCTGTCATCCCACTGGGCTAATTCAGACATTTAGAAAAAGTGTCTGAGGTTGATAAATTGAGTGAAGTTAAACTTAAAGAAGAAGGCTCTGGAGTGCTACATGGCATAATAGTTAAAACTACATTTTAAAAGACAGAAATAAGATTTGAGACATATTTAAGTAAATAGTTTTAACCTGATGTATTCCTGTCTGAAAATATCACAGTAGGTGAGGAAGGATGCTGGAGAGACAGTTCAGTGGCCAAGAGTTGCTCTTGCTGAGCTTCTGACTTCTCTTCCCAGCACCCACATAGAAAACTCACACCTTCCTGTAACTCTGATTTAGGAGCTGTGACATCCTCTTTTGATCTCAGCTGCTACTACACACACAGTGCACACACACACACATAAAGATAATAAAATAAAATACATGGCATGCAATTATTTTTTGTTTTGTGTATTTATTAAGAAAATTATTTTAATTAAGCACTATTTGGTGATACATTTTTAGGTAAATAAGTATTTCTGTCTGTCTTGTAAAACCTTTGCAAATCTGTACTTACCAAATAACAGAAAGATCTGTTTCATAATCCACTGTGACTGCCTCATTTAGAAAAGCCTATGTGAGTAATTTTTTGAAACCAAACATGTGGCTGAAAAGTGGCTGAAGAATTGTGGTTTTAAAACTTAAGGTGGCATTTTATCCTTACCTCTTTTCACCTTAGGTCTACTGTCTTTAATGTGTTAATTTGCCTAACTGAGGACCTAAAGAGGCAATGGTATAACATTCCTGAGCATGCTCCTACACTCTAGGCATTGGACTATAGAAATAAAATGCACTGTGTTACCTGTATTCACAGACCCAATGTCTACATAAATGCTTGCACAGAAGGATCCCAACAAAAGTCCAACCAAAGGGCCAATGACCATTCCTGTTTGTAAAATCCCTGGAAGTAAATAAAGACAGGAAGTTACATAACCACACAAAGAATTTTCTCGAAAAAAAAAAAAAAAACCTTGAGGTTGAATTAATTTTAATTTTAGATTTATTTTTCTTCCTTTGCAGAGCTGGGTATTAAATGCAATAGGCTAGGCAAGAGCTCTGGCAGTGAGCTACACATTACACTACCACGTATATTTTTACATATTCAACATATAAAAAATTAAGTTTGGGATCTATATACATATATATACATATATGTTACATATACATATATGTTTCCTGTACATGTGTTGGTTTCTATAAATATTGAAAAAGAATCTCCAATTGCTTCAATATTGAGTGCCCCCAGACAAACATGTGTTATGAGTTTGTTTTCCAAGGGGACACCTCCTGGAGCCTGATGGAACTCTTCCAATGCAGGTCATCTAAAGAAGAACCATAGCTCCTTCCTTATTATATTTGCTTCCAATTATATATGGATTGGTTTTACTCCATCCATCCTTCCACCATAATGAGCTGCCTTATGAGTGTGCTCCAAACCACAAAGTCTAGTAACATAGACTGAAATCCCAAAGCTGTCAGCCAAAAGAATCTTTTCTACTTATAAATCATTATCTCAGGTGTACATTGAAGTGAAAGTTGACTGACACAGAAGCTTCATTACTTAAGTGCATCCTCCAAATTCTCTTTTATGCTGAGTTAAAGGCAAAGGATATGCTATCACAGGCAGTCCCATCAAAGCCATGATGTGAGCAAGGTCCTTTGATGCGTCCATAGCCATGTTTATGTTTTCAGAGTGTCTCTGAGATGCTTAAGTAGCTTTAATTGTCAACTTGACAATTTCTTTACAAAGAATTACCTGGGAGTAGAGTCATACTAGAGTACTGTCTACATTGAGTTTACCTGTGGACATGTCAGTAGAAGATTGTCTTAATTAGGTTAATTAAAGTGAGAAGACCGAGCCTACTGTGGGCAGCACCATTCCCTAAGCAGGGAGTCCTGAACTGTATAAGAGTGGAGAAACAGCTGAGCACAATCACGGAAACAAAGACATAGCATGCATACATTCATTCTCTCTGCTCTTGGGTGTGTGTCAAGCTGTTTCAGGCTCCTGCTATGACTTCTTTATTGTGATGGAATTGTAAGCCAAAAGAATCCCTTTCTCTCCAAAGTTGCATTTTCTCACAGCAACAGAAAGGACACTAGCACAGTTTCTGCATGCATGTATATTGTAATGAATTTCTTTCTTTTTTTAAATAATTTTTATTTTTTATATTAATCACAGATTATTTACTTTGTATCCCAGCTGTAGCTCCCTCCTTCATTCCCTCCCAATCCCACCCTCCCTCCCTCATCTTCTCCCTGCCTCTTTCCAAGTCCACTGCTAGGGGAGGTCCTCCTCCCCTTCCATCTGACCTTAGCTTTTCAGGTATCTTCAGGACTGGCTACAATGTCTTCCTCTGTGGCCTACCAAGGCTGTTTCTCCCTCAGGAGGTAAAGGGGGAGGTCAAATAGCCAGCCATTGAGTTCATGTCACAAATAGTCCTTATTCCTCTTACTAGGGAAACCCACTTGGATGCTGAGCTACCATGGGGTACATGCGAGCAGGGGTTCTAGGCTATATCCATACATGGTCCTTGGTTGGAGAAACAGTCTCATAAAAGACCCTTGTGCCCTGATATATTTGATCCTTGTGGAGCTCCTGTCTTGTCCAGGTCATACTAACTCCCCCTTCTTTCATGTGATTCCCTGAACTCTGTCAAAGGTTTGGTTATGAGTCTCAGCATCTGCTTTGATACATTGCTAAGTAGAGTCTTTCAGAGGCCCTCTTTAGTAGGCTCCTGTTCTGTTACTTGTTTTCTCCTACTTCCACTGTCCATCCATTTTATCTTTAAGTGAAGATTGATCATATTACCCCGGATCCTCTTTCTTGTTTATCTTCTTTAGGTGTACAAATTTTAGTATGATTTTCCTATATTATAGGTCTAGTACCCACTTATTAGTGAGTATATACTGTGTGTGCCTTTCTTCTCCTGAGATACCTCACTCAGGATGATCTTTTCTAGATCCCACCATTTGCCTGCAAATTTCATGATTTCCTTGTTTTTAATTGCTGAGTAGTATTCCATTGTGTAAAAGTACCACAATTTCTGTATCCATTCCTCAGCTGATGAACATGTAGGTTGTTTCCAGGTTTTGGCTATAAGAATAAAGCTGCTACATGTGGTTGAGCAAATGTCCTTGCTGTTTACTTGAGAATCTTTTGGATATATAAAGCCTAGGAGTGGTATAGCTGTATCTTGAGGAAGCACTATTCCTAATTGCCTGAGAAAGTGCCAGATTGATTTCCAAAGTGTACAAGTTTACATTCCCACTAGCAGTGGAGGGGGGTTCCCAATTCTCCACAACCTCTCCAGCATGTGTTGTTACTTCAGTTTTTGATCTTAGCCATTCTGTTGAGAAATCTCAGGGTCATTTTGATTTGCATCTCTCTGATGGCAAAGGATGTTGAGCATCTCTTTAAGTGTTTCTCTGCCATTCTATATTCCTCTACAGATAATTCTCTGTTTAGCTCCTTACCCCATTTTTTAAATTGGATTGCTTGATTTATTGCTTTCTAACTTCTTTAGTTCTTTATATATACTGGATATTAGCCTTGTGTCATATATAGGGTTGGTGAAGATCCTTTCCCAGGCTGTAGCCTGTCATTTTCTTCTGATGACTGTGTTCTTTGCTTTACAGAAGTTTTTCAGTTTCATGAGGTCCCATTTATCGAGTGTTGTTCTTAGAGCCTGTGCTGTTGGTGTTCTGTTCAGGAAGTTGTCTCCTGTGCCAATGAGTTCAAGGATCTTCCCCACTTTTTCTTCTAACTGATTTAGTGTATCTGGTTTTATGTTGAGGTCTTTGATCCACTTGGACTTTAGTTTTGTACAGGGTGATAAGTATGGATCTGTTTTCATTTTTCTGCATGTAGACATCCAGTTAGACCAGCACCATTTGTTGAAGATGCTGTCTTTTTTCCATTGAATGGTTTTGGCTTCTTTGTCTAAAATCAAGTATTCACGGGTGTGTGGGTTTATTTCTGTGTCTTCTATTCCGTTCCATTGATCTACTATTCTGTTTCTATGCCAATATCATGCAGTATTTATTACTATTGCTCTGTAACACAGCTTGAGATCAAGGATGGAGATACCTCCAGGTGCTCTGTTGTAAAGGATCGTTTTGGAAATTCTGGGTTTTTTGTTTCTCCATATGAAGTTGAGAATTTTTTTTCAAGGTCTGTAAAGAATTGTGTTGGTATTTTGAGGGGAATTGCATTGAATCTGTAGATTGCTTTAGGCAGAATGGCCATTTTTACTATGTTAATCCTATTGATCCATGAGCATGAGAAATCTTTCCATCTTCTGATATCATCTTCAGTTTCTTTCTTCAGAGACTTGAAGTTCTTTTTCAAACAGTTCTTTCACCTGCTTGGTTAGAGTCACCCCAAGGTACTTTATGTTATTAGTGGCTATTGTGAAGGGTTTTGTTTCCCTAATCTCTTTCTCATCCTTTTGTCTTGGGTATACAGGAGAGCTACTGATTTTTTTGAGTTAATTTTGTATAATGAATTTCTTATAATGCATCTTCAGCAAAGCTCCACTCTTGAAACTTCCTTCTATGGAAAGAATGAGTCTTCATAACAACACTTCTTCTCCCTCTCTCTTTTTTTTAATGTTATTTTGGTGTTCTTTCTCATCTTAATTAATTTCCTTTTTCTCTCAGGAGCAGCTAGAGTGCTTGGAGTGAGGCCTTTGCTCAAGGCTCCCTCGAGGATCCCTATCTCACCAGTGGAGTGGAAAAGAGTTTTTCACAGAGTGAAAAACAGACAGCAGAGGAAACTCGGGTGTTCCTCAGCCAGTGTTACAGCCCTTCAGTTAAAGTGCTGTGCTAACAGCAGAGGATATGGGACCGTGCCTTGTCAGTTCATAGTGGGAACACAGTTCTGGCTGCTGCTTTGTTGGCCGTCAGTGGCTTGTCTCCTCTTCAGGTGACCAAGGCAGCTATCTATGGCTGCTTGGCTTTCAGCCAAGCCCCAGTTGTTCAGTGGTAAATTCTTCAGGGAGGGGGAGAGCCCATCCTGCCCCAGAATAAATGATGAGTCTCAGGTAGTCATGGTGGAAGAACAGAGTGATAGCGTTTATTTCATAAACCATGAACATTATATACCTTGGGCAGTGGAAGGGGTCTTGGAATGTGAATGCATTTGATCCACTGAGGTTAGGGATGCCAAGGAGACTTCATTTATATGCAATCACACAGCTGTATCATAAGAAGGAGAACACAGCACTTATTTATCCTATGAAGAAAATCCAGGCACAACCAAAGGTCATTGGTTGAAGGCCAAGACACCAAGACATCAAGACATCTTATTAGCATAGGAATCCCCAGGTGTAAACTGAACAGGTTTCTTAACAGGAAAGAGTTGGGCCTGTAGTTTTCCCTGAGGGGTATGTGACTCTCTTTAGAGGATCTGGGATTTCCCATGTCAGGTAGAGAGGAAGGAACCCAACTGAAGAAGGAAATCTGTCATTTTGGTCAGAGTTCAGGGGCTATCTGGTAATGCCAGACTTCAACCTTACCAGAAGGTTCGAACAGAGAAGTTATGATTAAACCAGTGTTTGGTAAAGCCTACTTTGTAAAAATGTTTCCGTGAACATGACAAGAAAAAACACTATTGGTCTAGGCAGATGACTTGGCAGGTAAAGGCATTTGTCCACCAAACATGGTCCAAAGACTCCATTTCAATCCCCAGGCCAACTCGCAAAAGCCGTTTTCTGACCACTACCTTGGCATGCAAGTATACACATACACACATACACATGAAAAAGAGAGAGTAAAAAAACAGTAATACTATATTTTAAAACACTGCAGACACGAAATGGACAGTATTGAAGTTGTAATAACTAATAGATGAAAGAATGAGAAACTGAAAGCAGGAAAAATAGAAAAAAAAAACTGAATGTGAGGAATGTTTTCTAGGAAATATTGGGAAATCTCTTAATGACTTAGAGTTAGCGGTGGCATCAGAGGAGTAGAGGGTCAGCAGATCAGAGGGCTCTCCAACAGTGAGAAATAGCTTGTCTGGAGCTACTATTATATTTCTTCTTTGAACAGACTAATGATCTCTCATGTGTAGCATTCTGCTCACCCTCCAGAAACCCCAAAGCATCCAAATCAATAATCAACTTTTACCCTCCCAGAACTTACTGATTTTGAAACTTACCAATATATAAAGGAGAGTTTTCAGATTTGGCAAAATCTTCTATGTAGGAAACACCCAAAGGCATGATAGGAGTTTCACCAATTCCACGTATCATATTTCCTACCATTACATATATCCACATTAATGATTTAATTTCTTTCACACATTCTGCATTAAAACAAGAGAAAACTGCGTGAATATTTTCTTCTTGGCTAATTGATGTGAGATGGCACAGACAACTGTGGGTGATAACACCCTGGGCAGGTAGGCCTAGGCTGTATGATATAGGTAGCTGAGCAAGCCAGTATGCAGCTTTCCTCAGTGGTCTCTGCTTTGGTCTGTACCTGAAGGTCCCTGCCTTGGTTTCCCTCATGGTGGACTATAACTGGTAAGCAAGATAAACTCTTTCCTTCCTGAGTTGATTTTAGTCAATATTTTATTAGAGCCATAGAAGACCAAACTAGACTCAATCACATAGTGTGTCTGAATCCAGACTTCTAAGATTTTTCTTTTCTCTTTTGCTTGTGAGATGAATTCTACAATGGTGCTAAGGTGGTGTGGGCCATGTAGAAAAAGCTATGGCAAGCAAGTGAGCTTCCTGGAGGCAGCCCACTACTTTTGCATGGCTTCAATGGGTTTTCCCTGGTAAGGCATGGACTCCAGGAATTTTGTCTCAGGATTGCTTCTTGTTGCGATATGCCTTTCCATGCTTGCATTACTGGGTCCCTCATATATCTGTCATGGTGTGAAGAGACCCTCACTACTTACTGTTTTCTGGGTATTTAGCCACTCTGTTGGGCAAATTTCCTACAGATTAATATGAACATATACTGTCATTAAATAATGCTATTAGATGAACTGATTTTATAATCCCTGATAATGATTTTGTAGCACTCCTGATTTAAATCAAGGAATTTTAAACCCTCCTGAAGAATAGCAAATACTGCTAGAGTTCCATGAACCTCCATATGCCACATGCATGTAAATTCCACTAGGAAAAAGAACAGGTTTGAGGCCAATTTATGATCTAGAAAAACATTTACTTTAGGTCCAGAGATGAAGTCACAGGCCTTGGTATGCACCTTGATAAGGAAAGCCATGAACTAGTTATGTATGGTTCTATTATAAACAAAAAATTGGTAATTAGCTATATAATACTTAAAAATAAGACATAAGATAGGTGACCTGTTTCTTGGTAAAAATAAATCCTTGTTAACCTGTTGCATAGAAAACTGTTGCTTTGAACTTATAATGAGCTTATGGAATAAAAGATAAATAAGAATATTACTTTGAACATACAATGAACTCATGAAGCTAAGAAATAGCTAAAGAAAGTTTAGTCAGGTACAGTCTTGTAAACATGAAAACATATGAACAATTATCTTGTTATAAATGCTTAAACCATGCTAACCTTAAGTCTTGTTAACCCATGACATGAAGAAGGATTGCTTTGAACTTACACTAACTTGTGGCGAGAAGAGATAAATAAGAAATGTTTAATTAGGCAGGAGTAATCAATAATCCTGACATGTAATGACTTTATCTGTTTCTATGACAATTGCTTTTATGGCTGTGAGGTAATTTTTCTTCTTAGGTAGAGACCTTTGTCTGAGGAAGAATGTAAGCTCAAGGACAAAAAAAAAAAAAAAAAAAAAAAAGAGTTGGAGCCTGCTTCGCTTCATCCACCAAGTGTGCACGTGTGAATGTGTCCCCTCCTTCCCCTTTTTTTCTTTCTCTATTGGCAGCCTACAATAGAAGCCATCAGTTTCTGGCTCCACCCCTTTTCCTTTCTTTTTGAGTTTCTCTTGCACCAAACAGTAAAAACAGCTGACAAAGCTAGCAACTCTGGCTGTTAAAGCATTAAAGAGTCTTTTCCTGTCACCAGTGACAAGAAGAGGCAAAAGCTACCAGCTCTGGCTGTTACAGACAAAGAGTTTAGGACTCTTCGCCAGTCACAAACAGTACTGGCCCTTAAGCCAGGAGCTATCAACTTTTTGACTGAAGCTATATCCAGCCTCTGTCTTAACCCTGTGTGTCAAAGTCAGCCTTTGACACTGGGGTGGATATCTTTGGTTTATACTTTCAAATACCCGTTTTAGGAAGCAAACAAGACTTAATAAATATATTCAAACTCATGAGGGAGAGTATTCTAGGTTCTTAGACAACTCCCCTGAAAAGGGAAATAAATTTTGTTCATTTGTCTTATAGGTCTACTAAACACAGTGCCATATTCAAAGCCTTTCATAAAGGAGTATTCTGCGGCTGAGCCTCTGACCAGAAAGCCATAAGAAGCACTGGTCAACCTGCTGGGTCTTGCGTTGGCTTTAAGGTCTGGGTTCTGTTTTCCATACACAGGAAGCTGTCTGAGGACAAGTTGCTTGCAGGTGAAATCGTTGTTTCATATTGGTATCTGTGTGGACATGGGAAACATTTACTGTCAGGAGCTGAGTGGAAGGAGACCATCTGCAGATTAGTGACCCCTGCTTCCCTGAAAACACAGCATCCAGAGCCAGTAAAGACATGTTTCCACAGCGGTCACTCTCATCACCATAAGTCCTATGGTGGAGCCAGCGAGATGACTCAGCAGGTCAAGCACTTGCTGCAGAAGCCTGATGGCCTGAGTTCAATTCCTGAAACCCACATGAAGGTGGAAGAAGAGGAAGGACTCCATAAAGTAGCCCTGTGATCTATACACACACACACACACACACACACACACACAAACACACACACACACACACACATGCAGGCATGCACGAACATGCACAGGTACAACTAGAACTAGAAGCTCCAGGTCAGCCTCAGCTATGCAGCAAGTTTGAAGGCAGTCTGGGCTTCATGAGAACCTGCCACAAAAACACAAAAACAAACAAACAAAAAACAAAATAAAAAACAATGAATAAAATTCAGTATTCAATATCGTAAAAAGAACTTGATAATCACCAAAAAATGTGCCTCTTCTTTAGAGCTAGCTCTCAAATCTCTACATGTAGGTGAAATAGTTTTAGGATTGTTGAATATCAACTCTCTGTGCTTTCTAAATAACTACTTCCTAGGAATACTTTGTGTGAGATAAAGAACAAAAGCAAGAAAAAGAGGAGCATCAATAAAATAGAATTAAGGAGATAAAAGCTTTAGAGAGACACAAACAGCACAAAACAAAACATCTGTGCTGTGGCCTTATCCTTCCTTCCTGAGATTTCAAACAACCATTCTTCCATGTGCCCATTAGACCCAACATAAAAATAACCAAACAAACAAATAAATAAATAAATAAATAAATAAATAAATCCACACAGCGTAAGAAAAGGTGACAGAGTCCATCAACTGACAACACAGTGTCATGGGACCAAGAGTGTTAATAAACTGTGGTCATTAACTAGAGCAAGTCACCAAGAATCAGCTTGTGCTAGAAGGAAAATGAGAGAGTGCAAACACAGAGGAAAATGTGTTCAAGTAAGTCTCTCTCATTGGAGGGTACAATGGGTTTATTTCTAAGACTGTTTTAAATGAGACATAGCCAGAAGAAAACACAGACTGCTGAACTCTGCACTGGTATGGATCAACAATTGCCAGCATTCTGATTCCTATGGCACATGAGGTATCACAGAAGTCAGAATAACTTTTCCTTAGAGAAACTGCCCAGACATCCCAACAGAGGGGGCTATGAAGTGTGGACAAGGGCCCATATCTCTCTACTCATGCTCCCATGAGGACAGGTCAGCTTCAAACAATTATCAGACTTGGCAGAAGGTGGGAAAACACCACAATAGCCAAAGATTCTTTGACATTGATTTGAATACAATAGAAAGAAAAAAATATTTTTTAAATTCCATCTACAACTTTTTAATTTCCCTCAAAACACCTTAGAAGATAAAATAACCTTCATTTGGTTCATTATCCACTTAAAATTCAGTTGTTCATTCTAGATCCATTTATTCCCCCCAATTGACAATTAAGTGGCAGTAAAAAGGCTTCAAAATTAAAAAGGGAAAACCCATTTCCTCAAAGATAAAGAGATCTAAACATGACCAGTTATCATTGCTACCTGACAAGCAACAACCTCAGGTTTGTTCCTGAGCACTTAAAAAGAAAGAAAGAAAGAAAGAAAGAAAGAAAGAAAGAAAGAAAGAAAGAA